TTACATTTTTGTAAATTATCAGAGAACGGAATGTAATGATACCTGAATATGTAGTTCATTAAATTTGTGTAATAAATATTGACTTCTATCATTGTCCATGTAGCCTGATGATAAAAGTACTATTGACCTCCACCTGTCATATACACATTCTCGCAGGATATATCATTACTTTTTTCACATCACGAATTCAATCAATCATATTTTGGTGAGAATCTACGCTATCAAATCGACCAAGCTACTGTTACATAGCCTGAGCTTCGGGCTTACATTCGATCTTAGGAAGGCTAAATAGAAGTTGCTCGTCAAGCCACAGCACTGTGTGCCTATCCCCAGTTTCTCATGCGGCCAGATATATGGAATGCGCCCACCTTCGAGTGTGACCTAAAAAATAAATCACGACAATTTATATACAAATATTGTTGTCGAATTTGGGTTTCTAAAGGAATTAGAACTTAACATAGAAGAAGCGCGCATAGGCCGTCATAATCTAAATTGGATATTTCTTTACAATGGAAATCAATCAGAAACATTAAACTGATATACGAAAATTTATATAAGTGATTAAAATATTATCGATATCAAATTTGACTTTCTAAAGGGTATACAAGCCATTTACCTATCAAAGTGTCCATGTGTCGTAAAATATAAATTGTACCACCCTTGAATGTGTCGTAAGATATAAATTGTACCATCCTTGAATGTGTCGTAAAATATAAATTGTACCACCCTTGAATGTGTCGTAAAATATAAATTGTATCACCCTTAAACGTGACCTAAAAAGCATTTCACACCACACACCTAAGTAGAAATAACATAATTAAAGTATATCCAGATAACGTGTCTCAGATAACATATATATAACATACTTGATAGCATATACTCTGGCTATTTGCCTTCATAAATGATGCATAAAATGCAATCAGCTTATCAAGACCAACCCAGCAGTAGTCTATGATCAATATTAACCTCTGAAAATGAAGTGCAAGACATATTCGACCTATTAATTGAGTACTTTATCCCATTAGTGATCACTTGGATAACTTGAGATTCATGATCATAACATATGACAGTTCATAGCCTGCACTCCACTTGAGTCATAGACTATGTATTATATAAATTTCACATATTAATCTGATAATGT